TCCCGGTAATTCCCGACCTCAGCAATCCCCAACCCCGCAATCCCCGATCCCGGCAGCCCCAGTGGTCCCGACAGTCCCGTATCCCAGCTCCCTGAGCAATTCCCAAGGGATAGCAATGAGTGTGGATGTGTTTCCCCTCCATCCCATTCCTCTGGAGCATGACAGGAGGTTTCTGTGTGTTTGGAATGTCTCCTCAGGGCAGCTCCAAGCACTCACACCACCAGAATCCCTCCTGTCTCACTCCACCACGCTAAAAGTGGGAGCAATCCCTAAATTAGGAAGAGGACAAAAAGCCAAACCTCTTCCTCTTCCTCACCTGTCACAGAGAAGCCACAAAAACACCGAGTCCTTCAAGCATTTTTTTTTTTTTAAGGAAAAGATCAAACCCCACTTTCCATTTTCTGGCCAAACCTCCCGAGGCTCGGGGCACTGGGAGCTGCTGGGGGTGAAGGTGCAAAGTGCTGGAGCAGAGGTAGGACACGGAGAGCTCCCAGAGCACAGAAATCCAACAGCTCCGGGTGCTGTGAATTCCCAGCGGTGGGAAGAGGTTTCCCTTCAGCTGCTGCACCTTTGGGTCCCTCAAACGCTGGGAGTGGGAGCAGCCCCACCCAATCTGCAGGGACAAAAACAAAAACTTTAGGTTAGATGTGGCCCTAAAAACAGGGCTGAATTCCTAAATTCTTGGGTTTTTTTCTTTTAAAATTCCTGGACATTCTGCTGTATGCGCTCCTGTTGTATAAGGGCCTCAAAAAAAGGCTGCAGAGGAGGAAAATCAGGGAGGTTTCAGCAGTGGATGCTGGGTTTTGCACGGATTTTCATACACGGAAAGCATTGGTTTCCCATAGCAGTGATCAGTGCTGGGAAAAGGCTGGAAAGAGGGTGAAGAAACGATGTGGAAAATCACGGCTGAAACTCCAGGAAAGATAAATTTTCCTGCTGYCAGATGTAAACTTGGGGCAGATAAAACCCTCGTGTGACCCATCCCAGCAGTGCCCAGGGCACACCCAGCCCCTCCAGGACAGTGTGCCCACAGAAGGAGCAGCAGCCCCGGCTCAGAGTGCGCTCACTCACCGCTCGATGATGCTGTTGTTGAACTGCAGATCGCAGGAGACCGACCTCATCTGCTCCAGCAGCTCCTGCATCCTGCAGGGACAMAAAMAYCCTGAATCCTAAATCCTGCAGGGGTAAAAACACCCTGAATCCTGAATCCTAAATCCTGCAGGGACACAAACACCCTGAATCTTGCAGGGGTACAAACATCCTGAATCCTAAATCCTGCAGGGACACAAAAAACCTGAATCCTAAATCCTGCAGGGGTAAAAACACCCTGAAAATCCTGAATCCTAAATCCTGCAGGGACACAAACACCCTGAACCCTGAATCCTGCAGGGACACAAAAACCCTGAATCCTGAATCCTAAATCCTGCAGGGACACAAACACCTTGAATCCTGAATCCTAAATCCTGCAGGGGCACAGACACCCTGAATCCTGAATCCTAAATCCTACAGGGACACAGACAGCCCTGATTTCTGCATCCTTCAGGGAAAAAAAACTGGCCCTGAATCCTTTATACTTCAGGGATACATCCAGCCTTAATTTCTGCATCCTGCAGGGATAAAACCACCCTGATTCCTGAATCCTGCAGGGACACAAACACCCTGAATCCTGCAGGGACACATCCAGCCCTGATTTCTGCATCCTGCAGGGATAAACCCACCCTGATTCCTGCATCCTGCAGGGACACAAACCCTGAATCCTGAATCCTAAATCCTGCAGGGGCACAGACACCCTGAATCCTTTATGCTTCAGGGATACATCCAGCCTTAATTTCTGCATCCTGCCTGGATAAAACCACCCTGATTCCAGCATCCCGCATGGATAAAACCTGACGCTCATTCCTGTATCCTGCAGGAACACTCCATCCCTAATTGCTTCATCCTGCCCGAACAAAACCATCCCTGGCTCCCACAGGACACGGAGCAGGGATCACACCCAGCAGGGTCACATTTTTCCCTGAATCCTGAATCCTAAATCCTGCAGGGAAACAAACACCCTRAATCCTGCAGGGGCACAAACCCCTGAATCCTGAATCCTACAGGGACAAAAACACCCCAAATCCTGAATCCTGCAGGGACACAAACACCCTGATTTCTGCATCCTTCAGGGATAAAACCCTGATTCCTACATCCTGAAGGGACACAAACACTCCAAACCCCGAATCCTAAATCCTGCAGGGACACAAACACCCTGCATCCTGCAGGGACACAAACACCCTGAATCCTGAATCCTAAATCCTGCAGGGAAACGAACACCCTGAATCCTGCAGGGACACAAAAACCCTGAATCCTGAATCCTAAATCCTGCAGGGAAACGAACACCCTGATTTCTGCATCCTTCAGGGATAAAACCCTGATTCCTGCATCCTGAAGGGACAGAAACACTCCAAACCCCGAATCCTAAATCCTGCAGGGACACAAACACCCTGCATCCTGCAGGGGTAAAAACACCCTGAATCCTGCATCCNACAAAACCATCCCTGGCTCCCACAGGACACGGAGCAGGGATCACACCCAGCAGGGTCACATTTTTCCCTGAATCCTGAATCCTAAATCCTGCAGGGAAACAAACACCCCAAATCCTGCAGGGGCACAAACCCCTGAATCCTGAATCCTACAGGGACAAAAACACCCCAAATCCTGAATCCTGCAGGGACACAAACACCCTGATTTCTGCATCCTTCAGGGATAAAACCCTGATTCCTGCATCCTGAAGGGACACAAACACTCCAAACCCCGAATCCTAAATCCTGCAGGGACAGAAACACCCTGCATCCTGCAGGGATAAAAACACCCTGAATCCTGAATCCTGAATCCTAAATCCTACAGGGACACAAACACCCTGAACCCTGAATCCTACAGGGACACAAACACCCTGAAATCCTGCAGGGACACAAACACCCTGAATCCTGCAGGGACACAAAAACCCTGAATCCTGAATCCTAAATCCTGCAGGGAAACAAACACCCTGAAGCCTGCAGGGGCACAAACCCCTGAATCCTGAATCCTGCAGGGACAAAAACACCCCAAATCCTGAATCCTGCAGGGACACCAACACCCTGAATCCTGCATCCTGCAGGGACACAAACACCCTGAATCCTGCAGGGACACAAACACCCTGATTCCTGCATCCTGAAGGGACACAAACACTCTAAACCCCGAATCCTAAATCCTGCAGGGACACAAACACCCTGAATCCTGCAGGGGCACAAACCCCTGAATCCTGAATCCTACAGGGACAAAAACACCCAAAATCCTGCATCCTGCAGGGACACAAACACCCTGATCTCTGCATCCTTCAGGGATAAAACCCTGATTCCTGCATCCTGAAGGGACACAAACACTCCAAACCCCGAATCCTAAATCCTGCAGGGACACAAACACCCTGCATCCTGCAGGGATAAAAACACCCTGAATCCTGAATCCTAAATCCCACAGGGAAGCAAACACCCTGAACCTTGAATCCTGCAGGGACACAAACACCCTGAATCCTACAGGGACACAGACACCCTGAATTCTGAATCCTGAATCCTAAATCCTGCAGGGACACAAAAACCCTGAATCCTGAATCCTAAATCCTGCAGGGAAACAAACACCCTGAATCCTGCAGGGGCACAAACCCCTGAATCCTGAATCCTACAGGGACAAAAACACCCCAAATCCTGAATCCTGCAGGGACACCAACATCCTGAATCCTGCATCCTGCAGGGACACAAACCCTCAATCCTGAATCCTAAATCCTGCAGGGACACAAACACCCTGATTTCTGCATCCTTCACGGATAAAACAACCCTGATTCCTGCATCCTGAAGGGACACAAACAGTCCAAACCCCGAATCCTAAATCCTGCAGGGACACAAACACCCTGCATCCTGCAGGGGTAAAAACACCCTGAATCCTGAATCTTAAATCCTACAGAGAAGCAAACACCCTGAACCCTGAATCCTACAGGGACACAAACACCCTGAATTCTGAATCCTGAATCCTAAATCCTGCAGGGACACAAACATGCTGAATCCTGCAGGGGTAAAAACACCCTGAATCCTGAATCCTAAATCCTACAGGGAAGCAAACACCCTGAACCCTGAATCCTGCAGGGACACAAAACCCCTGAATCCTGAATCCTGCAGGGACACAGACACCCTGAATTCTGAATCCTAAATCCTGCAGGGGTATAAACACCCTGCACTGTCCCAAACCCCCCTTTGCAAGGACTCACCTCAAAGCCATCTCCTGGCGTGCCTGGCTCAGGGGGACGGGGCTGGGCAGGGCRGGGGCACCCGGGGCCAAATTCCGTCTGTCCAGCGGGGGCAGTTTGTCCAGAACCTGTGGGATGGAGGGGATTGGCAGTGCCCACACCAGGGACTGACCCCGAGCACTCAGAGTCACACCCAGCACTAATGCAGGACAAAGAAAACCAAACCACCCCAAAACCAGAACCTCTGCCAGCAGCTCTGCTGGGGGAGTGCAGGTGAATCAGGATTTTTCTCCTTTTGATTCCTATTTATGGGAATTTCTTGTTGTAATTCCTATTTATGGGAATTTCTTGTTGTAGTTCCCATTTATGGGAATATCTGGTTGTAATTCCCATTTTTGGGGGACGGATCCCAATCCTCAAGACCGGGGGGTGCCCCTGGTAAAGGTTTCCCCGCTCACACAGAGGGACAAAACCTCTGCAGCTTGGAACACTCACAAAAATCTGCAGCAAGGGGGTTAAAAATACTAAAAATACTAAAAATAAATACTAAAAATAGTAAAAATAAATACTAAAAATACTAAAAATAATACTAAAAATACTAAAAATACTAAAAATAGTAAAAATAAATACTAAAAATACTAAAAATAATACCAAAAATACTAAAAGTACTAAAAATAAATACTAAAAATACTAAAAATAATACTAAAAATACTAAAAATACTAAAATACTAAAAATAAATATTAAAATTACTAAAATTACTAAAAATACTAAAAATACTAAAATTACTAAAAATACTAAAAATAAATACTAAAAATAAATACTAAAAATACTAAAAATACTAAAAATAATACTAAAAATACAGGGTTTCCCTGTGAAAAGTACAGGGTTTCCCTCTTTACAAACAGACTGACTCAGGGAGTGAGATAAGGCTGATACTGAAAGATAGAAAGAATTTCCATAAGAATTCCTTTAATTGACTTATCCCAAACGAAGTTAATAAACTACAGGAGCAGAGACACAGAGAAGTATATCAAAAAAAGACAATATATGATAGAAGGAGGGGGTTGTTATTAAGCATTTCAGAAAGCCTGTACCTCTCAAAAACTTCAGCCAATAGAAAAAAAGAGAGAACTGCAACCTAAAATATTAAAATAAAAAGAGACTGCGTCCTATAAATTTAAAATACCCCATGAAAAACGCTCATAACCTCTCCCTTTACTCATAAATAAAGTTGCAAAATTCATTTATATCCTTTTTACACATAAACCTCTAGTGCTTGTAAATGAATTTTCCTAACAGTTGCTTAACCCAGCGCTGCTGAAGGCTGGAGAGGGGAGCAGGAGCACCCTTGGGTGCAGGGGGAGGTTTGGGATTTGCAATCCTGGGCACCTACACMCTGCAGGCAGTCCTGGCACTCGGTCATCTCCACGCTGCAGGCACTGATGCGATTGCTCAGCCTCTTCAGGTGCTTCCTTATCTCACAAACTTTCCTGGAGAGAAAATAAAAACAGCAGCAAAATTCCCACTCGGTGCTGGACATCGTTATTTTTTTTTTTTTAATGTGTTTTAATTGCACGCTGCTTTTTGCAGAGATGTTCGGATTCAGAATCCTGAAGGAAAGGAAAATCCTGAAGGAAAATCCTGAGTGAAAGGAAAATTCTGAAGGAAAGCAAAACAGAACTGTCATTCCATTCTGCAGCCACCATAGATAGGCCAGGGCATCCAAACAAATTAATTATGGAAAATTATTGTTTGTAAATGAGGCAGCTSAGGCTCATTGCTTTATCCAGGATTTATCTCTGTCCCTTGGAGGACTGAGYTTTCACCCAAAAAGGCTCCTCACACCCAGCAGGCACATCATGAGTTGTGGTTAAAATAAAAAAAAAAAATTGTTTTGGCTTTAAAAAAAAAACCCAAAGGGAGGAATATTTCAGGTGAATGAYCCACCTCAGGTCCCCAGAAAAAAAACAGCCACAAAGCCAGGCAGGAAACAAAACAGGACAATTAAAACTGAATGAAACGAGGAATTAAAAATATCCAGTTGTGACTCACAAGACAGAAAAACAGGTACAAAAATACCCCAGGAAAACATGGAGAAGTTGAGTTTTTTTTTATCTCGTTGTGAGCAGAGGTAAAACTCAGCTTTAGTGCAGACACTCCTGCACTGCAGGGATTTTGTGGGGTGGGGATCCCACTGGAAGGCAAAATTCCCACTGAAAGGGAGGGAATTTCAGTGCCTGCGATGGAATGTGGAGATTGGGGTGACTGTGGGGTGAAATTCTTGTGTCTGAAGGGAAATTTGCTTTTGGGGGAGGGCTGCAACACTGAAACCCCCGGGGGCACAAACTGGGATGGGGATGGGATGGGGCTGGGAAAGGTTGGGATGGGGAAGGGAAAATATTGGGATGGGGAAGGAAAAATATTGGGATGGGGAAGGGAAAATATTGGGATGGGGAAAGGAAAATATTGGGATGGGGCTGGGAAAGGTTGGGATGGGGTTGGGAAAAGGTTGGGATGGGGCTGGGAAAAGGTTCAGATGGGAAAGGAAAAGGTTGGGATAGGGAAGGGAAAAGGTTGGGATGGGGAAGGGAAAAGGTTGGGATGGGGAAGGGAAAAGGTTCGGATGGGGCTGGAAAAGGTTGGGATAGGGAAGGGAAAATATTGGGATGGGGAAGGAAAAATATTGGGATGGGGAAGGGAAAATATTGGGACGGGGAAGGAAAAATATTGGGATGGGAAAAGAAAAGGTTGGGATGGGGAAGGGAAAAGGTTGGGATGGGGAAAGGAAAAGGTTGGGATGGGGCTGGGAAAGGTTGGGATGGGGAAGGGAAAAGGTTGGGATGGGACAGGGAAAAGGTTGGGATAGGGAAGGGAAAATATTGGGATGGGGAAGGGAAAAGGTTGGGATGGGGCTGGGAAAAGGTTGGGATGGGGCTGGGAAAAGGTTCAGATGGGAAAGGAAAAGATTGGGATAGGGAAGGGAAAATATTGGGATGGGGAAGGGAAAATATTGGGATGGGGAAAGGAAAAGGTTGGGATGGGAAGAGAAAAGTCTAGGATGGGAAAAGGAAAGGCTGGGATAGAGCAGAGAAAAGGTTGGGATAGAGCAGGGAAAAGATTGGGATAGGGGAAAGGAAAAGGTTGTAAAAAAGCTGGGATGGGGAGCAGAGAAGTTTGGGATGAGGGAAGGAAAAGGTTCCGGATAGGGCTGAGAGAGGATGGGGCAGACCCTTCCCTCAGCTCCTGGAGCATCGCTGAGCACATCAGACAAAATTCCAGCCCGAAAATCCTCAAAAAACGGGTTCAGTTCTGAGATATTGCAGAAACTCCTGCTCCTGCACCCACCCCTCAGCCAGGAGAGGCTGCTCCTCTCCATCCTGCCCTGAAAATCCCATTTCTGCCCCATTCTCTCCCCTCCCCGCTCTGGGGATTGCTCTCAATTGTAATTTGCTCTGTGCATTATTCCCCAAGCACCGTTTAACGGGAAATCACTCCCAGTGAGCAGATCTCTGCCTCAACAGCGATTTCATCCTGATAAAATCATCTCTGTCCCCGCCCCGGAGCAGGGAACAGCTGCTGCAGCTCCAGCTGCAAATTTGAGGGCTTTTTTAAAAAAATAAAGTTAAAATAATGGGGAGAAATATGGGATAAGAGCCAGCCACACAGTGGGATTGCAGAACTGCTGTTTTTAGGGTTGGTCACCCCTCTGGAGCCCCTCAGCCGTTCCCAAAATCACCATTTCCATCCCCATCCCCATTCCCACACTCAATCCATAGCAGAGATCACTCAAAAGCCCCAAATTATCACAAAAATCCCTTTAGAAGGCTGGTACCTCATCCTGCTGCTGTGCAGGGCCAGGGCCTCCTGGTACTGCTGGACACAATCGTTCTGGAAAATGGACAGCACCTTCCTGGCTAGATTCCCCAAATTCAGCCTGAAATCAGGAATAAAAGACAAAACACCATTTTTCTCTGAAATGAGTGGAAAGGATTCATTTTATATCCCTTAGGGTCCATTTTAAGTCCCTTAGGGTCCATTTTACAACCCTTAGGGTCCATTTTATATCCCTTAGGGTCCATTTTACATCCGTTAGGGTCCATTTTAAATCCCTTAAAGTCCATTTTACATCCCTTAGGGTCCATTTTATATCCCTTAGGGTCCATTTTAAATCCCTTAGGGTCCATTTTATATCCCTTAGGGTCCATTTTATATCCTTTTCGGTCCATTTTAAATCCCTTAGGGTTCATTTTACATCCCTTAGGGTTCATTTTATATCCTTTAGGGTTCATTTTATATCCCTTAGGGTACATTTTATATCCTTTAGGGTTAATTTTATATCCCTTAGGGTTCAACCAGAGCCTTGGCAGGGTGGTGGCACTCACTTGTCCAGTTTGTGGATTTGCTCCTCGTTGTAGCCCAGCCCTGGGGAGGAAGGACACGGTCACCACTCATTGTTTTCCTGCTCACAGCCCCACAAATTGGCAATTCCACAGCTCACAGGAGCTCCTCAGGGAGATTTTCACAGCTCAGCCCCCATCAGGACACAGAAAAGGACGATTTACAGGGTCCCTTCCAGCCCAAACCATYCTGTGGTTGGATGATTCCATGAGAAATCCCCCATTTTCCCAGTGGGGGACATTCCCAGCTCGTGTCCCTGTCCCCATCACTCACTCAGACACGTCCTGGCCTTCTTGAACTGCTTGTAGATCTGCTGCATCTTCTCCAGGCAGCACTCCATCTGCCGGATGCTGGAATGGGACGGGGTGAAATGGGGTGAAATCATCACTGTGGGGTGAAATCACTGAGATTAAATCATCACTGTGGGGTGAAATCATCACTGTGGGGTAAAATCACTGAGATTAAATCATCACTTTGGGGTGAAATTATCACTGTGGGGTGAAATCATCACTGTGGGGTGAAATCATCACTGTGGGGTGAAATCATCACTGTGGGGTGAAAACATCACTGTGGGGTGAAATCACTGAGATTAAATCATCACTTTGGGGTGAAATCATCACTGTGGGGTGAAATCATCACTGTGGGGTAAAATCATCACTTTGGGGTGAAATCACCATTTTGGGGGGAAAACACTGAGATGAAATCATCACTTTGGGGTGAAATCACTGAGACTAAATCATCACTTTGGGATGAAATCATCACTTTGGGGTGAAATCCTTGAGATGAAATTACCACTTTGGGGTGAATTTATCACTTTGGTATGAAATTATCACCTTGGGGTGAAATCATCACTTTTGGGTTGAAATTACTGCTTTGGCGTGAAATTACTGAGATGAAATAATCACTTCAGTGTGAAATCATCACTTTGGGGTGAAATCATCACTTTGGGGTGAAATCATTGAGATGAAATCATCACTTTGGGGTGAAATCATCACTGTGGGGTGAAATCATCACTGTAGGGTGAAAGCATCACTTTAGGGTGAAATCGTCACTTTGGGGTTGAAATCACTGAGATTAAATTATCACTTTGGGCTGAAATTATCACTTTTGGGTTGAAATTACTGCTTTGGGGTAAAATCACTGAGATGAAATCATCACTTTGGGGTGAAATCACTGGATGAAATTACCACTTTGCGGTGAATTTATCCCTTAGGGATGAAATAACCACTTTGGGGTAAAATCACTGAGACTAAATCATCACTTTGTGGTGAAATAATCACTCTGGGGTGAAATCACTGAGATGAAATCATCACTTTGAGGTGAAATCATCACTTTTGGGTTGAAATGACTGCTTTGGCGTGAAATTACTGAGAGGAAATCATCACTTCGGGGTGAAATCATCACTTTGGAGTGAAATCATCACTTTGGGGTGAAAACACTGAGATGAAATCATCACTTTGGAGTGAAATCATCACTTTGGGGTGAAAACACTGAGATGAAATCATTACTTTGGGGTGAAATCATCACTGTGGGGTGAAATCATCACTGTGGGGTGAAATCATCACTTTGCAGTAAAATCACTGAGATTAAATCATCACTTTGGGGTGAAATCATCACTTTGGGGTGAAAACATCATTTTGGGGTGAAAACATCACTTTGGGGTGAAAACACTGAGATGAAATTATCACTTTGGGGTGAAATTATCACTTTAGGGTGAAATCACCACTTTGGGGTGAAATCACTTAGATCAGATCATCACTTTGGGGTGAAATCATCACTTTGGGGTGAAATCATCACTTTGGGGTGGAATCATCACTTTGGGGTTGAAATTACTACTTTGGGATGAAATCACTTCGAGGTGAAATTATCACTTTGGGGTGAAATCATCACTTTGGAGTGAAATTCTCACTTTGGGGTGACACTGCTCCCCGTGTCCCCATGCAGGGACATCACCCAGCACCCCCATGGGTGGCGGTGGCAGCGAGGGGCTGTGCCTGGCACTGGAACCACCCCGTCCATATGGGAACAGCAAAGTGGCACCAGGGATTCCCCCCCAAACCTTTTATCCTCGTGCACTTGCTGCCTGTCCTTCAGCAGCTCGGCCAAAATCCCATCCAGCGCCCCTTGGAAGTCAAAGATGCTGTGGGAGCACTGGGAGAGCTCCTCGTCCACCTGTGGGGCACAGAGAGAGCTTGGGGTGAGCAGCTCTTGGGGTTGGGGGTGTTTGTGGGGTT